AAGGCCCGCGTCCCCCCAGCCGATGCCTCTCGCGGGCGCTGGTGGTGACAAGGCCGTCGCGGCTGGCGACCGGGGAAAGGAGCCGCGTTGCCGCTGGTCGCCTGAGGGCAGTCGATCCGGCAGGGCGGTGGGAGAAGCGGCGGGTTTGTTCACGGACGGGATGAGGTCGGCGATGACGGGGGAGCGTTCGACTCTACCGTTCACGAGCTCGGGGTGACGTGTGAGATCGGCCCTTGTGGGCATGGCCGACGAGGTCAGGCATGCCAGATTCGGTGGCAGTCTCGGTCATGCCCAGGTCGGTGACGATGATGAGGGCGCACGCGCCCCTGGAGCAGAGGACGTTGAGGCGCTCACGCTCGTCGACGTGACCCCAGGCCTTGTACGGGGTGGACCTGGTGAGGCGTATGATGGCGACGTCCTTCTCGCGCCCCTGCCAAGCCTCGGTGGTGCCGATGAGGTATAGTCGAAGCTGGGCGCCAGCCGGAAGGGAGGAACGTCCAGGCGGGTGATGCCTCGGGGACGGGCGGCGGGCAAACTGCGCGCGTAACCGAAGGAGCGGCGCGTGGCGTCCAGGGCCACGTCGTCGGTGGCGTCGGTGCCGCCGCGCGGGTCGCGCAGATAGGGCGGGAGACCAGAGCCACTCAGGATGAGAAGGGTCATCTCTTTCTCTCTCTCTCTCTCTCTCTCTCTCTCTCTCACACACACACATTGCACACACACACACACCTTTCACAAATTGCACGCGCACACACACACACACACACACACACACACACTGCACACACACACACACCTTTTCACACACACACGCACACACACACACCTTTTCACACACACGCACACATACACACACAGAGACACACATATATATATATATATATATACATTTTTATATATATATATATATATATATATATATATCACGCACGCACGCACGCACGCACGCACGCACGAACACAAACAAAACCAAGCAACGATTAATGGATACAAAGAGGCGGCCATGGTTACCACATCTGGGGGTAGGGCGTCTCGAGGATGTCGCCGAGCTACCTCCTGCACGTGGGCCCTCCAAGAGAGCCCACGAGGCTTCCAAGAAGGCCCCAAGAGGCTCCAAGGAGTCCAATAAGATGGTCCGAGAAGATCCCTGGAAGCCCCCAAGAGGCCCAAGAAGGCCTCGAGATCCCCCAAGAGAGCATCGAGAGGCCCACGGCAGGGCTGAACATGTTGAATCCTGCTTTCTTTGCTCCACGTTCGCATCTCGCCGATTCCCCCCGACTTGTGCTGCACCAGAGGCGTCTCGTCTCACTTGTTCTGTACAGGCTTGGACTGGAGTGCGGGGCCTGACCGTCCCTAGCAGGGTCTCACCCACGGGGCCCTGCACATGAACGCACAGTCGAGCTTGATTGGAGAGGACACGCGAGAGGACACGAGACCCTTCCGAGGGCCACACTGCCATGAGAATGCAAGAAGGCATGGGCCGCGAGGCACCCGACACAAGGGTTAGTAGGCAACTACTGGGAGGTTTTCGTCGGAAGGATTACGGAGGATTAAGCCCCATTGGGGGGCTGTTAAGCAAGAGTGGGTCTCGGATCAAGCGGGGTTAAGCCGGATTAAGTGGGATTAAGTGGGATTAGACGGGATTAAACGGGATTAAGCCGGATTTCGGACCAGGGCAAAAACAAAAGTTGACCTCCAAGGAGTTGCATCCGAACAAGGGTACCCTTGATCTGGCAGGGCCGACCTGCTACATAGTCGAGGCCGACTGCACGGACAGGACTGCGATCGGGGCTACACGCAAGAGTGGCCCTAGGCAAGAGCGACCTGCGGTGCGCGGCTGCCGGGAAACCGCAGGGGGGGGAGGGGGCCAGACCCAAGCGCGCAAGACGCTGCCGTCGCATCGCGCTCGGCGATCGGGGGACCCTGGCTGGCCAGGGCCACGGCCACGAACCGCCCAGGGGTGCGGGACCCGGCCGCCGCCCAGGCCCCGCCGACGGCCCGGCGCGCGGGGCGATAGGCCGCGGTCCGCGGGCTCTCGCCCGCAAAGTGCACGACAGCATGGCGCCTGGGATCCCGACCGAAAGGGTCCCGCCGATGGCCTGGCGCGCGGGGCTTCCGGCCGTGGCAGCACGGCGCCTGGGATGCCGACCCAAAGGGTCCCGCCTTCGTTGCCCTGGGTGGTGGGATCGCGCCGTGGCTGCACAGGGCTCCGCCCAGAGGGTCGGGGCTTGAAGGTCCTGCCCATGGGGTCCCGCCACGTACGTATAGGACCCCAATCTTGGTCATCCCAGGTGCTGGGGGTGCGCCGTAATTACACGAGGCCCCGCCGACAGGGCTCCAGCCTTCTGGCCCCGCCCCGCCTGCTTTCTCAGGGCAAGCACCCCCGTTCCAGCTTCTATGTCTCCGCCTGCTGACGGCTGTTCGCAGGCTCGAGGTGCAAACTGATGCTGGCCACTGCCGCCTCCTCCTCCTCCTCCTCCTCCTCCTCCTCCTCCTCCTCCTCCTCCTCCTCCTCCTCCTCCTCCTCCTCCTCCTCCTCAAAGCGCACGCCTGGCGTCGCCCGCGGGGCCCCCCACCACGCGCGGTCCCCGCCTCGGGCGTTGGGGCTGCGCCGCAGTGGGGTAGGGCCCCCCCGCCCACCGGGTCCCGTCCCCCCGTGGCCCTGTATATCCGTGCTGCTGCAGTTCCCCCAGTTCGGGGAGACGTAAAGACTCGGGCTCGGAAGACTCGGGATGGCCGGAGGGCCGTCAGGAAAATGACGAGACCCTGTCTGAGACGCGGCGCGAGCTCCCGCTGCAGGAACTCGAGCCGTAGGTTTCCCCGACAGGTATTCTCGCCTCCGGGCTCTGGCCCCAGCTGCCCTGGACCCTGTCGAGCCGGTTGTCCCGTTTTGCCCCACGGGGGCCCTAGACGCCCACGATAGGTCGGGGATGTGCACAGGGATGTGGAAAATAATGGGGGCATAAGGATGGAGATGCGAAGGTGAAAGAAGGAGCAGTACGAGCACGGAGGTGCTGCGAGGTCGCAGTGGGCCACATATTTTTTCGTGGCGTTGCGGGCGTGGGCCTCCAAAGCTGACACCCCGACGACAACGACGACGACGACGACCACCACCACCACCACCACCACGACCACGACAACAAACACGAACACGAACACAAACACGAACACGAACACGACGACGACGACGACGACGACGACGACGACGACGACGCGCACAGCAGGGTGCGGACTCGCCTAAGTAAGTGGTGAACGGTCATCATGACGAGAAGCTGCATTTTCATCTTCTCCATGGCCTGGTAGAGGCGTGGGTCTGGACAGACTTCCGTAGGCATCCTCACACCTAGGCACACTGCATTTGATCATCGTCATGGCAACGGTGCCCTACATACACGCCGACCATACAGCAGCGCTGCGAAGGAGCAGCCAAGGAGGACAACAGCTGGCAGTGTGAGAGGCAACTTCATATTTTGGGGGGAGCGCGATGCACGTTTAGCCTGAAAATTGTCCCTGCGGGGGGGGGGGGGGGGGCAGAAGCAAGGGAGCCCCTCATACCCCGCGAAAAACTCTTAAGGGGGGTGTCAGATACCAGACAACCAGGGAGCCCCTCCCCCCCCAAACCCCCCGCCCAACCCCTCCACCCCGGAAGAACCCAAGGGGTCCAGAACCCCCCCCCAAGGAAAATTAGTGGTGGGGGTCCGGAATCCCACTTCCCCCTGGGAAAATTAATGGGGAAATCCCGACCCCCCTCCCCCCCGGGAAAATCAGTGGGGGGGTCCACAAGCCCCCCCTCCCCGACGACGACGACGACGACGACGACCACGACGACCACGACGACCACAACGACGACGACCACGATCACGATCACGATCACGAACACGAACACGAACACGACGACAACGACGACGACGACGATGACGACGACGACGACGACGACGACGACGACGACGACGCAGCCGCCGCCGACGACGACGCCGACGCCGACGCCGACGCCGACGCCGACGCCGACGCCGACGACGAGGGGCCCCCATGAGGTATGGCCCAAGAGGCCTCCAGAGGGCCTCCTGGAAGGCCCGAAGAGACCATAATCAATGATGTGCCTTACAGGGAAGCTGGAAAGACTAAAGTTGGAAATTCATTTCAAGTACCCTCGTTGACTTGGTAAAATCGCATCTGTCCGAGGCCATCGGAAGGAAAAACTATTTGGGGCAGCGAGGCGGCCGTTGGAGACAATCGTCAAGGATTTAAGGCATGTGTTTCTACTCGGCCTTCCGACGGCCCGAGACGGCCCAAGCTCCCAAGGACCGCCCCAAAAATCGCCCAAGGGGCCTCCAAGATGGCCCCAGAGCGGCCCAGGTGGCCCCCAAGACGGCCCAAAGAGGGCCCCAAGAGGGCCCCAAGACGGCCCAAAAGGCCTCCAAGACGCCCAAGATGGCCCCCAAGTCGGCCCAGAGAGGCCCCCAAGACGGCTCCCGACGGCGTCAGACGCGCCACGAATGCCCTAAGACAGCCAAAGAGATCCCCGAGAAGTCCCCGAAGGCCCCCACGCGGCCCAAGAAGGCCCCAAAGATGCTTCCAAGAGGCTTCCAGGAAACTCCCAGGAGGCCGCCAGAGTGCCCCCAGAGGCTCCCAAGATGCCCCCTCCTCCTCCTCCTCCTCCTCCTCCTCCTCCTCCTCCTCCTCCTCCTCCTCCTCCTCCTCCTCCTCCTCCTCCTCCTCCTCCTCCTCCTCCTCCTCCGCCTCCTCCGCTCCTCCTCCTCCTCCTCCTCCTCCTCCTCCTCCCCTCCTCCCCTCCTCCTCCTCCTCCTCCTCCTCCTCCTCCTCCTCCTCCTCCCCTAGTGGCAGGATCCGCAGCGGGCCGCCGCGTGCGCAGCCGTTTCCCCCGCGGCGGCGGCGCCGCGGCCGCGGCCCGCGCCACTGTGGAGCCCCCAGCGCCCAAGGCGCGTGCGGGCTCGCGCTCGCGCTCGTCTGGCTGGCGCCAGGCGGCCCATTAACGAGCGGGGATGCGAGGCCCCTCTTCGGAGCTCTGTCACCCCCCTCCCATTCCAGGGCTGAAACGCGCGCTTCGACGAGCTCGTTCGCTGCGGGACCGTGAAGTACCACGGGTACACCACGACGGAGTCGATCCCGCTGTGGACATCTTGAACGGGGTGCGCGAGGGCACGTGCTCCGACGGCAGCTCCAGTCTGGAGGGGATACAGCAGAGGTTCTGCGCCGAGCTGGTCGAGACGGCATACCCGCGGGGCTGCCACGGCTTCCAAAACGCGTTCCGCCTCGGCTTCGCGCTCGCCGTCCCCCTGGTATTCAACGCCGTCGGCCTGGTGTGCGTCCTTCTATTCGCTATATCCACGGTCAGAGCCATAAGCATTTCTACCGCAACCTGGCGTTGATCACGCTCGTGGTCTCCACCCTGCATCTGGACACCGCCGTGAGCATGTACGGCCTGTTCGGGATCGGGTGTCTTGACGATATGAAGGCCGGAGGCGCCAGCGCCACGGTCACCAGGTTGGTCTGTGCGGTCAACGAGGGCATCGGGGACTCCTCTGGCTTCTTGGCGCGCATCTGCATCCTCTTCTTGCAGCTGTTCATCACTGTGCCGACACGGTGCACATGTTCTGCTCGGCAATCATACACCTTCCTGGATTGCGAGTACCTTGTCCCGAAGTTGCTGGATTCGGCTGGGTGTTCTGGGTCCAGGAAGCGCCGTACGTGCTCTGCTTGGTCTTCGTTCGCCTTCTTGGACTTTGGGTACCTTATCCTGAAGTTGCTGGTCGGCTGGGTGTTCTGGGTCCTTGAGGTGCACGGCATGGTCTTCGGCCTTTGCTTCGGCCATCTCCTTCGCGAAGCTACTCTACTTGTCTTCCTGGATTTCGGGTACCTTGTCCTGAACCTGCTGGGCCCGGCTGGGCGTTCTGGGACCAGCAGACGATCACGAATGCTACCCACCTGAAGTGTTTGAGGGCGGCGGCAGAATAGCGTTGGGGCTCACGCTTCACAGCGCTTCCTCCTTCCCGCCCCCTCATCCGCTCTTCTCTGGCCAATGTGGGCGCCTCTTCTCTGCCAAAAGAGCGAGCTGTCGAGATTCCCACCTCTTGCACGTGTGTTCGGTGCGCGTCGGCGTGCGCTCGAGCGTCGCACGCATGCTCTGTGGCGGTACCGCACCCTGGAGGGGCTTCGAGGTGCCGCCGCAGCGTCCGTTCGCCCGCCTTGCTCGGAACTGGATTCGTGCGACGGGGCTTGTTAACCGCTCGTGAGTGCGCAGGCCAATGACCTTGCGCTGGACTGTGGGGAACTCTGCTTTGGAGCCTTGTGGCGCGCTGCCTGCATTTCAAACCAACTGCTGTGCTGGGCTGCTGTTCCCAGTCCTCACAGGAGAGTGCGGATGGTGCTTTGCAGTAGCCTTCTGCGGGGTGGAGGTGTGGTTGCCCTCGGAGACGCGCCGCGGCTCGGCGCTCTCAGTGCCGCCTGTAGAGTGTTACAGTCCGCCTGTGCTGCCGTCCTGTCACTTGCGCGTCGGGGTCGCCGTCCCCCGCCCAGGCTCCCTGAATGTGACAGTCCTGGAACGTCGTGTGCCTGCGCCGACGGTAGCGCCTCGTGAGCCGCACAGCTCGGAGTTGCATTGCCGGCATCGGCATCTGCTCAACCTCTGAGCTGTGCCCCCTGGGGCGCGCTGTGGTGATTATCTGACCGAGTCAGCATGGGGTAATCCTTGGGTAATCCTCTCCTCCTCCTCCTCCTCCTCCTCCTCCTCCTCCTGCTGATCTTCCCCGCCATCCTCCCCCAAGTGTTCCCCGAAGGGTGTCCACAACGGCTTGGGGGCACACACACACACACACGGTCCGATAGCTCGGCAGAGCTCTTGCCACAACGCTCGGACATCTGGGCGATTCCAAAAGGCAGGGGGCGGCGGTGATTCGCCGTGGGCGTCTTCGATCCGCCGCCCCATGTGACTTACCACGCGGGTGCACGGCGTGACAGACGTCTGAGTGCCGAAGTTCCCCAATGGGGCCAACCGATCGCGACGACGGCACGGGAAGCCTGGGCGAAATGGGAGGCAAATCCGCCACGGAAGGACCCGTAAACTTCCCACGTCGTCGGTCTTCTCGCTCCAGGCGGCCTCAAGATTTCCTCCAAGACGCCAAAGATGGTCCCCAGACTGGCCACAATGGCCACAAAAGAGCCCAAGATGGCCCCAAGAGTGCTTCAAGACGGGCCGAGACGCCCACAAGATGGCCTCAAGATCGCCCAAGACGACCCAAGAGGTCTCCAAGGCGGCCCAAGAGGCATCCAACAGGACCGTGAGGAAAGTCCGCAGAGGCCGAAATCCCTGATTTGTTTTTTCCGCTGTTGTTTAAAAGATACGGCGTTTACTGAGTTTCGGCTTTTCGACTGCTCAAGACCATCCCAAAGGCCACCAGAATGGGTCCAAGAGCGCCGAAGTGGCCTCCGTGATGGCCCCCTGACGGCACAAGGGACCTCCAAGACGGCCCCAAGAGGACCCCAAGACGGCCCAAGAGACCTCCAAGATGGCCTCCAAGACGACCATGAAGAGCCCCAAGAGGGCCCCAATGCCGCCCAAGGAGGACCCCAAGACGGCGTTCGACGGCGTCAGACGGGCCAGGAACCCCCTCATACGGCCAAAAAGTCCCCCAGGGAGTCTCCAAGGCCCAAGAGGCCCCCAGAAAGCTCACTGGGGGCCCTAAAAACACCAACTAATCCCCCAAGAGTCTCCAAAGAGGTTTCATTATCCTCGTCGTCCTCCTCCTCCTCCTACTACTCCTCCTCCTCTTCCTCTTCCTCCTCCTCCTCCTCTTCCTCCTCCACCTCCTACTCCTCCTGCTGCTCCTCCTCCTCCTCTTCCTCCTCCTCCTCGTCATCGTCACCGTCATCATCATCATCATCATCATCATCATCATCATCATCATCATCATCATCATCATCATCATCATCATCATCATCATCATCATCATCATCATCATCATCATCATTATCATCGTCATCATCATCGCCACCACCACCACCACCACCACCATCATCGTCACCATCATCATCATCATCCTCAGCAGCAGCGGCATCAGCAATATCAACAACATCGACATACATGCATAGATGCATATATGCATGCATGCACGCATACATACATACATTCATACATACATACATACATACATGCATGCATGCATGCATGCATGCCTGCCGGCCGGCCTGCCGGCCGGCCGGCCTGCAAACTACCTACCTACCTACCTACCTACCTACCTACATACATACATACATACATGCATACATGCATGCATGCATACATACGTACATCATCAGCATCATCATC